GCTATTTGTTTTTAAGCATAAAATTTATGGTCATATTATTTATTGATTGAACAGATTACGTATTCCTTTGCGTGTTTTGATGATATATTGGTGTAAGTTTATATATTAAATAATAATCTATTTTAGCCATAAGCATTTCAGTCTTACTTTAAAAAGCCACTACGAGTTAATCATGCAAACAATTTGAAATCGTGAGCAGATTAAGAAAAACTGACATCGTAACTTTGTTGACTTTCAAACGTTGAATATAGTCTGATATTATTTTAACTTACGTATTGGTACGCGACCTTCCTATGTACCTTTAGGACAGTTTTCGGCCACGATTTTGTTCGTGATGTTGTATCTAGGGTATTTGATATCGTTGTTGTTACTACATAACTTTCTACAAATATGGATATAAATCTACTGTATTCTTTGAGTGAGATAGACTACCGGTAGACATTCAGTACCTAGTAGAAATTTTGATTTTGATATCCCCCCAAGAAGGCAATTCAAACATAGTACTGTGGTAGTGAGTGATGGAGCTGGAAGGTGGCTAATTGGCCATAGGAACACTGAAATGAAACGACGCAACCCCATCAAGTTTCGTTTGATTCGTCTTCACGAGTACTTTGTGTTAAGATGGTATCCAGGGTCTGATGGTGAAGCGGAAAGGTCGCCATAGGAATATTTTTATTTATATATTGTATAAATGCAATTTGATATTGAATAAAAAAAAGTAATCTCGACTAACTTTTAATTGTAAAAACTCGATTCTTCCACATCACTATTTATTTGGGACAAAAAACCTGCAACAGTGTAAATGTCATTTTACTGACTGGAATATATATAGAATAGATATTTCTGGAAAGTTGCATGTAGATCATTTTTCGAAAAAAATAAGGCCATAAAGAAGTTTCACTTCTTACGTGTGTACACTAGTACACGCACACATTTTTTTTTTAAATATCGATTTGTCGAAGAAAATTAATCTTTTTAAAACATCGATTCACTCGATGTATTGTATGGTAAATATCGAATATATACGATATAACGATATTAAATGAATATCCCTAGACTCGGGTACGTACATACGTACGACGGCGTACATACGTGTACGTACGTACACGTATGTACGCCGACCTCATCGTAGTATAATACCCCTTCCACACGACACAATTTGATTGCCAATCTGATTGCCGATTGAATTGGGTACAATCTGGTCGTCCGTCTACACATACACAACAAGATCGCCAATTTCAGTTTTATTTGTTGCTGAACGGACTTGTTTGTATTAGGATGCCTCTTACCAAGAAGCAAAAAATTGGATTAATCTTGGCTCTAACTACAAATGTAGATGAGAAAAAAAGAAAAAGATGACTGTGGACAAAAAAATGGTTATTAAAAAGAAAGCAATTGAGGCACTTAAATGTAGTTGTATTATATTTAAGTGACTCAATAAAGTTAAATATAGTTATACTTAAAGAGTAATATTTTTAAAGAAAATATAACTAGAAAAAATTCCACGCGGACCAGGCAGCAGACGGGACTCGAACCCGCACCCTTCGAATAACCCTTAAAATATAACTGAGTTATATTTTCTTTAGATTTAAACATCAAGCAGTTACATGCTTTAAAATAATAAAAATTATAACTGTAATTGCTATTTCTTCTTTCAAATGTTTAATACTTGTAAAAGTATTCATTTGACATTGTGGGTTTCCTATAATGCGAAGAGATGGCGCTGCCTTGCAACTTAAGAATGGCTGGAAGAATTTCGACGCGGTCCGTGAGGGCCGCGGTAGCATAATTGGTCAGTGTATTCGCCCGGATTGCGAAGGGTGCGGGTTCGAGTCCCGTCTGCTGCCTGGACCGCGTGGATTTTTTTCTAGTTATATTTTCATTAGATTTAAACATCAAGCAATTACATGCTTAAAAAATAAAAAATATATATAATATTATTTCTTTTTTACCCCAGCATGCGCGCATATCATTGAGTAGAATATAAATTTAATCAAATGATTTTTTATTTTCAATAACAAATAACTGCCTGGTCCGCGTGGATTTTTTTCTAGTTATATTTACTTTAGATTTAAACATCAAGCAGTAATATTTTTATCAATATTTTTCTACTTATTCCGCAAAATCTCTAAGGAATTATGCCTTGCGTGTTTATTTTTATATAATGGGTTAGACACATCCCAAAGGCATGGCAAGTCTTTACATATCTAAAATCTCCTCCATTACTTCCCGTTCAGATCGAATAGACATAATATTGTCGTCATGTTGCTCCATCTTCTTCTCAAAAGACAAGTCAACGCACACACCCGCTCTGAACGCCGCTTGCACAGTGACATAATGTACTCTATGACAGTGACTACGTTAAAAAATCAGTGTTGCCACCTTGGATTTTTTTAAGGCGCCAAGTCAAAGGTAAATAGTCGCCAGATTTCAAAAATTTGGATTTAATAAAATACACCAAAATCCGCAAAATTACAATTACATCTCTGATAACAAAAAACCCTAATTTAAATAAAAAACCAGTGAATATGTATGAGATGCTACAGAAATAACTGTGAGTAACCACATAGAATATTATGAAATTTCGGAAAGTTAGGGCATTTCCCCCTTAAAAATATGTTGCTAGATTTCATATTAAAAACCACTAAAAAAATTTACCCGCTAGATGATGAAAATATACCACAAGAAGCCGTTCTGGTGGAAAAACCACCAAGGTGGCAACACTGTAAAAAGTTGGCCAGTGTCCACACCACCCAATTTGATTGGGCAATCCCAAATCGGGCGATACCGACCATCCAATGACCTTCAATTTCATATTTCCGTCCATACAACACAATGAGGGTTATCGCGTATGAATCCGCCGCTAGAGGCGCTAGTGTAGCGTGAGGTCTCCGAACTGTCAAATGTTATTGCTTATGGGTTGACTACACGGGTTTATTACTAATTAAAATAATGTTGTGAATATTTGGTAAAAACTCGGCATAATTATGGCAAATATGAGTTACGTGGCAACGAATGTCAGCTATTTAAAAGCGGAGCCAAGAAAAATTAGTATGTCCTCCTTTTTTCCGAACAAAACGGAACTGCGCATCACTGGGGCATGGCCGATTATGTTTCGGATACGGTTCTTTTGTATTAAAATATGATTTAAATGTAAACTTTGATTTCACGTGCGTATTAATAAACTTTAAAAGTTTCAATTCTGGACCTCACTCAACAGTGGCGCCATCTGGTGAGACAGAAAACGGTAGCCCTCATTCGATTGTCAATCTAATCAAATTGGACGTAAAATTGTATCGTGTGGAAGCCACTTTAGGAGTGTACAGTTAAAAAATATATTCCGATATAAAATATCGGAAAGGGATATCGATGTTTTTCGATATATCGTTTGAAAATAACGATATTTTTCAAAATCGAATATTTTCCACAAGTTTCATTTACTATGAGTATTGCTTTATTAGAATTATACTACTAAGACGGTGATGAGATGATTTGTATTGAAGTAAGTGTAACACTAAAAAATCTTAATCGAAATATTTTATTACAATAATACCCATTTAAGACCAATGTTCTTTAGGTAGACTTTGTAGGAATAAAAGTTTACTTAGTGTTTTGCCTTTCATTCTGTTTTTTTTTTGTTGGTTGAATTAGATTTATTTGAATCAATTTATAAAAAAATAAATTGTTAAGGTTTCTTAATAACACAAATAGTGAGTTAGAGTCTGTGTGGAAAGAGAATGGGATTTAGATTGGAGGGCGCTGTAGTGTTTTTCTACCGTAATTGTATGGTTTTACCCCTTTTAGACATGATTAAATACAAAAAACCACAACAACAAACAAATCCGTATCAATACAAAACTTTGACGTTTTGATTGCTGGGTTTGATTGCCAAATAAAAATATTAATGTTAGTTCCGTTTTTCGCCACGCCCATTCTATTTCCGCACAGACTGTAAGATAAATTTTTTTTCGAAAAAAGTATTTTTTTTTGCAGAAATATTAAAGCAAATAAGGAGAAGTCATGCAGAAGAAGGGGTAGATAAAAGATACCGTCATGAAGCTAAAGCGCGTCGAAGGCATATTTTTTTGTTGATTTTTATTTTTGTGAAATGTTACTGGCATTATGGTCTATAAATTCAATATATCCCGCTTCTGGTACGTACATGATACATTTCAATGACACTCAGTTTGCCAATCTCCTTTACTTTGTTTTTATCGTCATTATGAGTCAGCGTTAGTTTTTATAAATATCGGTCGATATTTTTATAAATATATAGATATAATCAATTAAAAAATATCTTTGTTAAAACATCGAATAAATCGATATATCGTATGGTAAATATCGAATAAATTCAATATATCGATATCTTAGAGCATTTAACCCTTAGACCATTAAACCAGTGGTTTTAATGGTCTAAGATTTAACCCGGTATGAATGCTCTAAGTATCGATATTAATTTATTCCCTACGTAGTATTTGTTGCCGCATTTGAGAATTCAAATAAGAATAGGAAAGCCAATGACCTCTATCTGTCAAATGTCGCTTGAAAAGTACAGTTTGCAAAAAAAAACTTGGAACCCTTTTTTAGCACTGCTAATTCAAGAATAAAAACCAAACATTTGTAAACAAACAATAACAAATATTGATAAATAATATCGGTTGATATTTTTTTTTCACATAATGAGCTTTGGCCATGAATGGTTGATACCTAAATTGTCAACCAAATGTCACTTTAAGTTGCGTTCAGAAACTCGATTTCAAACTTTCGTTTACATAAAGTATACATGTTCGTATGTGACCTAGTAATAGTGCATGATTATTCATAACTACTCCGGCGGTAATGCAGAGATGAGCGGAATAGAAGAGCTAGATTCTGATTATTGTTTTTTCTCACAGTCTTAATAAATAAATATTATTAAAAATCTGTGGTTTTTTTTTCTCAATCTTAGTAAATAAATGTTATTAAAAAATCTGATGCTGTTTCTCACTTAATCTTAGTAAATAAGTTTTATTAAATAAAAACTTATTTTTGCTCACTATTTGGTTTGAATTGACAGCTATGACATCACAATATGGCGCCCTGTTGGTCATATTCTTAGTTGAATCGCATTATAAAGTATAGTGTTGAAAAGAATCTATAAAAAATTGATATATTATATATCTATATATTATAGAGTGCCAATAGCTTGTTCTCTCATTGGTCTGTGTCGCAAATTTAGAAAAATGTTCTGTATTGATCCCTCAGACCAAATAAAAAGTTTGGTCTGAGATTGATCCCTACATTTTGATACTATATTCTTACCGAAACCACGATAGTCCATTAATTGTTTCAGATTCTATGCAATGGCTACCAATTCCATAGTGGTGGATCTAAGATCCGATACTGTAACTAAACCGTGTCAAGCTATGAAAGATGCTATGTCCTCTGCCTCAGTAGGTGATGATGTTTATGGTGAAGATCCCACTGTTAATCGTCTGCAAACAGAGGTGGCCCTCTTGTTAGGAAAGGAATCATCTTTATTTGTACCATCTGGTACTATGGCTAATCTTATTGCTGGTTGGTAATATTAAAAGATTTAAGTGTCTATATTATCATTACTAATTCTTAAAATTCACAGCATTTATTATGCTCTATGACTGGTTGCTAATTTTGTCAGTTTAACTCTGTCCATGCTCCCCTTCTAGACAAAAAGTGTCATTGTGACAAACCTGAATAATCTCTCACTTCTGTTATTTGAGAGGAATGAAGCAACGAGAAAAGGTTGTACAAGGGAGTTCCACTAATAACAAAATTTAGAACATAGTTATATATAAGTTTTCAGTAAGTCATTAATGAATGAGGAATATTATAGCCAATAATTAATGAGTCAGGTATTCTATATTATTGATCTATCCCTAGCAATGGTGCATTGCAACAAAAGGAGTGCGGAAATGCTGTGTGGGGATCTGTCACATGTTTTTAAAAGAGAAGGTAATAATAATATTAATATAAATAAATATTTCCAACACTCACACCAATTAGCCTAGCCCCAAAGTAAGCACTATAAGGATTGTGTCATGGGATACTAGGGTAACGGATAGAATACCATATACAGTACATATACATAATAGTATATTTATATAGAAATACATATTAAACATCCATGTTTAATATGTATGATGACTGGAGTACAAATGCTCGTATTATCACACACATCTGCCCCCACCAGGATTCAAACCTAGGACCTCTGAAGTTGGCGACACCATGAAACCCGGTGTACAAACCACTCGACCACGGAGGTCATCATTTAATTTATAGATACCAACATACTCCTGTTCTTTTAAACTTAAGATAAAATATTCATTCATTCTTAAAATAAATGATTTGTTTTTTTATGTTAAAAGGGTGGCAAACAAGCAGATGGCCTGACTGATGGTAAACATCCACCATAGCCTATAGATCCTTTGCTATACAAAAAAAAAAAAAATGGTTGCCTGTAAAGTCGGTTTTACGGGCGAAGATTTTACGTGACAACGTCTTTTTCTCGGTAGAATATTTATTGATATGAATATAATTAAATTGCACAATAGGAACAAGGAATTGAATGAAAATAAGAATTGCACAAATTTTAACTATAGAAATATATTTTGTTTACTAAAACATTGTACATGTAAACTTAAACTTAACACGAGAGACTCATCGTAACGTTACCGAGCGTTACACTTTTTCATAAGTGTCTCCCAGCCGCAACCTAATTTAAGACGTTGTCACGTCAATATCACAGGAGCTCTGGAACCTCACCAATGATAGAAACACAACATCACAAAGAGGCAGTGTTATTTTACTGATGGTCTTCTGGAAGGTGAAGGTAACTTCCCCAGACGGACCTCTCTTGGTTGATGGATATGAGCCTTGTACTTTAGCCATGGCTGCATAGTATATTTTTTCCGTGAAGATATAATTATATGTATTTATATTTGTTACCTTAGCATCCCTTATAGTGTTTACTTTAGGGAGTTGGCAAAGGAATGTATGAAAATATAATAATTCTTACTGTGTCTTCTAAAATATTATATATAAAAGCTATCAATGAAAACCACTACAAATAACTGTTATCCTTTATTTAAGCCAAACGTAAATTAAAACTTTCACAATATTATGAGTTATTTTTTCAATTGTTCAATAAGAATGTAGCAAAGGTGTGAATTATTGTTATTTACAGTAAATAATTAAATAATACACTTTGTTTTGATCTCTTTTAGGTGGGATTTCTCATCTTGTAGGGGTGCAAGTGAGTGCTTTAAAAAACTGCTCTGATGGCACATTTAAGTTGGATGATTTTGAAAAACATATAAGAGGTGCAGATATACAAGAGCCAATCACTATGATGGTTTCTATTGAAAATACACACTCTTACTGTGGTGGAAAGGTAATAAACATTAATTTTATTAAATAATCTTATACAAACCAAAACTTAGTACCACAAATTATGTAGGTGTGAGTGTTCTAAAGACGAACTGGTTTCAAGGACCGTTTACGTTTCCGATCAAAACAGTCTTCGTCGAACAAGTAGTCCTCGGATTGTCTACGCGCCAATTTGTACTTAATGTTCAAGCAAATATAGTCTATAATAGAACGCAATGATATGAGACCGTTTCATTCTATGACAAGCTTTAATTTTACAATAATATAATCTTTATTATTGAACGTTTAAAGTCTATTATCGTATAACACTACTTTTATTTCGATGTTTCGTCTCGTTCGCAGCACGGTGGCGGCGACACGACTGTGCCTCTTATGTATGACCTTAGTTCCTTTAACATAGAGTGCAAGTTTGTTTAGCAACTAAACAAAATTATAAAATCCTACTTTATGGATTCACATAAAATACTTTTACTGTTAGAGGCACTATTTGACACACTATTTATACATATAGAATTGATAACGAAAAAAGTTCATTTTCTATGAGAACTATTATGGGTACGCCAGGTTGACACCAGCTAAGAATATTAACTTCAATATCTTTGGTCTTTTAAGAGTATTGATTATGAAATTTTGTTAAGCCAGGGCACTATTTGCGAACTATTTTTGTGTGTCAATTTCGTTGCTTAAATATATGCCGTTCTTGGGGTCGGCCATGGGTACGCTAGCTTGACGTCATGGTAGCGTACACAGTAAAAATGGTATTTATTTCTTAAATTAAAGAGGCACTATTTTTATTATTTTTACACTAATTTGGCACTATTTACGCACTATTTAATGGCATAACGAAAAACCGTATATTGATCGTGGGTACGCTAGCATCACGGACACGTTTTTGCAGGATTATTCCTAATATATCAGGATTTTGTTTAAACATCAATGTTGAGCTTAATGTCCGTCTTTTTTCCTTTATGCTTATGCCGAAAAAGTTAGAAATAACCGCATAAAAATGTGAGATATCATTAAAATATACACACGGTTTTTTAAGCTAGTAATGGACAAGGAAAATCATTTAATGGACATCCAGTGATGAACATGCACCAAATATGAACATCTAATAATGAATACAATTTAATAATGGACCCCCACTAATGGACCAGCTCGTTGAATTTAGAATAAGAAGTAGTTCCCTATATCTAAGTAAATAAAAACATCAACAATTTTATAATCAACTAGACATTTATTATATTTTTATTTTTTAAAGCATTTATTTGCTAGATTTTAAATCTAAAGAAAATTTTTACTAAAAAAAAATCCACGCGGTCCAGGCAGCAGACGGGACTCGAAACTGCACCCTCCGCTATCCGGGCAGATGCACTGGCCATTATGTTACCGTGATCTATGCCTTACAGCCTAAGAAATACAAGCTGAAATTACACGAATGGGTTTAGTTAGTATACATACATACACTTTCGAAAAACATTACCCTCCTTTCTTCGGCAGTCAGGTAAAAAGTTAGTATAATAAAAACGAGTGGATACCTACCTTTATTTGGTGGCGTAGAGGAGGTGACGAATATCTACGCTACCGTTGGCGTTGAAGTACCAAAATGGTGGCATATTTCTACTTCTACGCTATCGTCGCGTTGAGAAAACCACATATCTCTGTAAATAAAGTATGATTTGAGTTGCAATATAGCTCCAAACATGGCTTACACTTCTACCAACATGATGCACTATTTGTTTTTCGTGTAACAATCAAACTTACTTTTTTATGCACAAAAATCTTACCTTGAAAAAAATGTGTACACAAACTACACCAGACGTTGTTGTTGACGACTACAACTGTCAAAAATATAGCCGCTCATCAAGCCGCTGTCCACAGATTACAGAAACTCAGTGTTGCCACTTCCCGATTTGAACTTCACCGATTCCTAAAGTTTAATAGAACATGGAGAATTGACAAAAGTGGCGTATAAGAACAGTTTTTGACGAAAACTTATTTGAAATCATTTTCAAGGAAATTCTTAGGCTAAACGTTGCTAAATTAAAAGCACGGATAGCTATTAATATAAGTATTCTTATAGTATCAGCCATGTCTCAAAAACTGACATACTTTTTGCTACTACGATAGTTAAAGTGCACCTCTACCTCGGCGGATAGAAGTTTTTATGTAATTTTACTACCTTTTTTCAGATTTCATTCGAAATATATTTTTTGTTTATTATCTGACCTGAAATAATCATAATGTCCACTTGAGTCACTTTGTTGCTTAATCCAAAGCCGTGATCAAAAATCCGATATCTATAATACTTTTCAAAATACTGACCGCGGAGAAAACAGTTTTCAAAATCAGCAAAAAATGGCGGCCTGACCCTTATACGAAAAACTTAAATTTTCAGCATTATTGCTGAATTTTTTAAAAAACGCGAACCAACTTCGCTATTCTGGCACCATATTTGAACTCGGCGTTTGTTTGTTTTATTTTTAATAAACAGCTTTCTAATTCGAAGTCCAGTTCGAAATAATTAATTTGTTCGAATAAAATATTTACCCTTATATCTTTATATACCTTTGATATCTTACCTTCTTCTTGGAGTAAAAGATCCTTCCATTCTTTGATATCTTACCTTCTTCTCGGAGTAAAAGATCGTTCCATACCTTTGATAATCTTACCTTCTTCTCGGAGTAAAAGATTGTTCCATACCTTTGATATCTTACCTTCTTCTCGGAGTAAAAGATCGTTACATACCTTTGATATCTTACCTTCTTCTCGGAGTAAAAGATCGTTACATACCTTTGATATCTTACCTTCTTCTCTTAGTAAAAGATCGTTCCATTTTTAAATTACACCCCAAATCGAGTTTGCTTTGTAATTTATTTGGACGCTAGGTCGTTGCTGTTGCTATATAGATACGAATACTGTGTTGGAAGCATATAAGTTGGTGAACGAAACTTTCACTGAGATTTGAGGCTGACACATGGTCTGATTAGATAGTAATTCATCCGTGGGCTGACCGTCCACCCACCATACACGTTCTTTTTAATGTTGTGTTTTAAATAACCTCTATATAATGCTCACACAAACAGCAGGCCAATTATGCTCGCTAATTGTGATATTGTTTTGATGTCTATTTCACATTACGTATTATGCTCTCCGAAAAATGCGATATCAAAATGACATCAACTTATGCTATGATGATGATCAACTCTATAAAATGATATCAACTTAAATGCGTATTACGTTCAACTTTTTGACTTAAAATAGTATCGCATAAACGTCAAAAATGTGATACAGGATATGATATTGATATGATCTTGATGTGACATAGGAATGTTTCATAATACCATATAAAAACAATGTCAACTTGGCATCAACATCATATTGACATCACATTAGAATTTTATTACTGAAGCATAATTGACCCACAGACGATGGTGTCACCAGTGACACTGTTGCCTATATAGGTTGCATATCAACTAGGTTAAGGCTGGCTGCATATGTACGGTTTCCTGATCACGAATTTAGATTCGTGAGCCGTGGGCCAAGCGCAGACGTTTCGATTTTTTTTATTAGGTAGTGTTCGAATCGAACGCCAGGTTTTCCCCATTCCGAAAGAAAAATTTTAGTCAGTTTACGGACTATAATTTTATGTGATAACGTGTCGCTGTATTTCTCGAGACAGTTTTGTGTGGTTTTTAGTTCCGTTTGGTTTGAACTCAAGCACGCCTCTGTAGCTCAATGGCCGCCCGAGTAAGGCTCCACGGGGGTGAGGTACTCTTCGTGGGGATGCGGGAGTCGAAGGAACTCTTCGTTCTCACCTCACACATATCTACCGCAGAACGTTAAACCTAGTGACAACGTGCCATGACGTCACACTTTTTCGTGAGTGCAGCCGATATTCATCAATTTATTAGACGTTAACAAGTCAATATTAAGAATAGTGGGCGCCTCGTTGAACATTTTATATGTACGGACGTGCATTCAGTTCTCCGATTCGGAATTTCTGATCAGGAAATCGTACTTGCGGCCAGCCTTAAGCTAATCACGATCTTCTTGTGAAAAAATTACAATGTAATATTTTTTGTCCTATTTATATATTTAATAAATAAATATTTTCAACACTCACACCAATTAGCCTAGACCCAAAGTAAGCACTGTAGGCTTGTGTTATGGGATACTAAGGTAACGGATAGAATACATATTCTGATTATATAAGTTTAAGTATATTTATATAGAAATGTTACATATTCCCATGACTGGAGTACAAATGCTCGTATTCAGCACACTAACATCTGCTCCCACTGGGATTCGCCTCTCGAGTAGGCGACATCTTGAATACAAACCACTCGGCCACGGAGGTTGTCAAATATATATGGTATATATATATATATATAATTATATTGTTAACAAATAGAATATTCCAGACTAAAATGAATATAAATATTCATTTTTACAAATCATATTATCGCTATAGCTAACGATCTAATACCTTCGAATTGACTGTACTGTTAGGTTTACTTACTAAAGGTACATTATCATCTTATTCAGGTTCTGCCACTGCAATGGATAGAAAACCTTGCGCAGGTATCAAGGAAACATGGAGTAGCCGTGCACATGGATGGTGCTAGATTATTCAACGCATCTGAATACCTCCGCGAAGATCCTGCAAGATTAGTTCGCGACTGTGATAGCGTCTCATTCTGTTTTAGCAAAGGATTAGGGGCTCCTGTTGGATCAATTCTTGCTGGGACCAGGAGATTCATTGATCAGTATGTACCTGCCATGAATAATTTATTATTATAAATACCTGCTAAAGCAACTCTGTTACGCTTTGATGCTACTAAACCGTTTATGTAATGATTTTAATATATTTCTTTATTTATTCCACCTTTGCTTTATTTTAGGCTGCGTAGTTAGACGCTTGAATGCTGTGAAAAGAGTTCAAACTTTGTATTTACTAACACAAGTTTGCTCTAGAGCTATAGCTCTAGTATACCAACAGTACAAATAATGTCCAGTTACTTAATAGATGGTTGCAAACTGATTCTGCATGTTACCCGCGCACAGAGCAACGCAGAAGAGATAAAATCAGCAAATAACCACTAACTCTGAAATGGTATGGTTTAACCGATTATCAAATACACCGCGATATGATGTATAACGCGTTTTCATCACGCTCAATTGTAAAATTACTATGGAGTTTGACAGTTAGACGCGGTGGAAAATGTGATATAATGTTAATTGTGGCGCTCCTGCTACGGGGACTGGGCATCGAAGAAAAGTTTGATATCCTTGCACCCTATAATATGGTCTGGTGTTTCGTTTTACTTTGATTCTAAAGAGTAATACTCACATTGCTAAATTTCCTACTGTTGCCAATTTAAGATTAACATTTGTCACTACTTAATAGCAGTACGCGCTAAACAGCGCACGCGCCGCATTTTGAGATGTCATCAACACGTTATTTAATCCTTTAATTTGTTTTAAATGATTTATTTATTTATTTTATTTTAGGAAGGTCTACAGATATCATTAACTTAATTAAATAAACAAAAAACAAATCTAAAAGCCAATTAAAACCTCCACATATTAACTGATACTCTAACATTTGATTTAATAATAATTTTTAGAGCACGCCGTTTCCGCAAGATGTTAGGCGGTGGTATGAGACAGGCAGGCGTCATAGCGGCAGCAGCTCTGGTCAGCTTGGAACAATCTGTGCCCTCACTTGATGCAGATCATCGACGAGCGCAATATCTTGCCAAAGGTTCGAACATTATAGAAATAGCACCACTAGCATTAGGTGCCATCGCTTAGCGGGATCACTGTGTGCCCCTAAACTATATATATATATATATTAATTTAATTATTTAACAAACAGTCATACATAATATGAACAATTTCATGGTAACAAACTGACCTAACAGTTCCATATCATATGAACTAACTTATATAATAATGAACTTAATAGGAGAGGAATAACACCATAATTTAGAAAAGAAATTCAGTACAACTTTTGAGCCAAATGCTATAGGTATAATGCAATAAACGAAAGAACAAACCACCAATCGGCATAATTAATTACCAACACAGCAGAGATGTAATAGATACCCTACAAAAAGTATCTAAAATACAAAATATAAGATACTAGGTAGTCAAGTGTTTAGATAACAGATACAAGATACCTTTGGAAAAAGTATTTGAAATACAAGATACGTATTTTCTAAATGCTTTTTAATTTAGCCCAATATATAATGAAACATTGAAAGTCGCCATTAATACCTACTTAATATTATAAATGTGAAAGATTGTACGTTTGTTTCTTAATCAAGTAAAAAACGGCTGAACCAATTTGGATGAAATTTGGCATACATGCCTATAGTTTACTACCTGTGCCCCGCGATGTTATCCGCGGTTTATCAGGGATATTATCCCCGCAGTAAAACGTAGCCTACGTGTTAATCGAGGGTGTCAGTTAACTGCTTACCAAATTTTACTTGATTGAATTTGATAAGACGAAACGATTGCCACTTCATTAGTTATGGGGACTGTAAAGACAGTATTCAGCAAGCAACTATATAAGCTTACTTTTCAAATAAAAGCTCTATGCTCCTTTCACTGGGACACCAAGGCAGCGCTTCCACTAAGAGCATGCGCTGCGTTAAGCGAGAGTACGGAGCGGACGTCGCTCTGCGTGTTTCTTACATGTGCGCTGCGTGAGGCAGGTCTCCATGAAATGACATAAAAAGTGCACGCGGAGCGGACATCCGTTACCCGCTTAACGCAGCGCAGCCTCAAAAGATATATTATTTGGAACTTCCCGTTATATTTGTGAAAAGAGAGTGATGTCAGAGAGTGATATCATCAGTAGGTAATCCTCATGTATGATTATTACTAAAAAATATTCACCAATTTCAGAAATACAAAAACTCAAACTCCCGATTTGCACTGTGGACACAATTAATCAGCATACAAACATAGTACATGTTAATATAAGCGATAAAACAAATATTACAAGTGAAAAAATTGTTGATCGTTTATATACTGTGAGTCAATCAGAAACAAATGGAGATTGCAAGACATCAGAAGGTCTTTGCATTGTTGTTCGAGGAAGTGCAAAGCCAGATTCCAAAACTCTCCGGTTTGTTTTACACCATGACATCAATGACGCAGATTTGAAACTCGCTGTTAAAAAAGTATGCTTTGTGCTTACCGAAATGGATAAAAATAAATGATTTTCATATTTATTAAACTTGTTTCAATTTTATACTAATAGTTTATAAACGATCTCTTGAGTTTTTCATAGGGAGTAGGTACCTACCATTACGAGACCGTAGCAGGATGCAGAAGTAAAGGCCGCTGCATACGTGACGAGTTTTCATCCGGACGGGACGGGACGGGAAGTTTTGGTAACATCGTTTCATACACAATGTATCCAAGAATGCATATGTCACGGGTGCATGGAAGGGGCAGGAACGTGGACGGGAAAAATATCGTCGCGGACGATGTTTAGCACGTCCCCGTCCCGTCACGGCCTGCGCGTGCCCCGTCCTGCTCGTGGTTTCGGTACGTATGCATAGCACAGTCGCTCTGTTCTGCTCATTCCGAACAGATCTGTAATGACGCGTTGATCCAAGAATATAAAATTACATTTCCAATCATTATAAAATTAACACTAGCACGTTAGATCCGAATCACTGTCACGGTGCGTATGCGTTTGCAGTCACCACGTTCCCGTTTTGAACGAGGTAATCACGTGCCCGTCCTGTCCGAAGTATTTACTCGTCACGTATGCAGCGGCCTTAAGTCCTTTCGAGATTATTAAAAGCAAAGCGCGAAAGCAAAACGCTGAGAATTTTATCGAAAGGAAGATTCTTTCTACGATTAAAACGTTGAAATAAAATCACTCACTTATACATAGAACGTGGTTATTTTACAGGCTTGTTTTCGAGCGTCTTTAAGATAGAGCAGCGGTTATTACGGGGAGGGCATAAGGGCATATTTTAAAATCTGGCGCCCACACTTAAGAGCCCTTTTACAAAATTGCGCCGCTCTAGTTTAGGTAAATATGACCGCGAGCGTGTCCGAGTCGCACGAGCGAGACATCGAAGCGGCGAAGTTCAGTATAGCGCGCTTTACCAAATTGATACTTTAATATGCAATTATTGATTATACAATAAAGTTAATTTGAAGTGCTAAGATGGATCCCTACTGTAGCAACGAACGATTCTAGATAGGAATCCTGAGTGGAGTAAAGGATACAAGGATTAAGTTTTTTTACTATTGTGAGAAAATAAATAATATATTTATAGTACCCATTGGTTGCGTTTTGGAAATGACAATAAAGATTAATTATGATTATTACTAATTATTGTAACTTTATATGTTTGATTTGCATAACTTCTGTTTGTTCAAATTTTTTTATTCACTCAGTAATTAAATGAAAAGTTTGTTCACTGTTATCGCTGAATGAAATCCCTTTTTCGAGTGGCAATGAGAAATAATATTTTATTTACTTGTATTTTTAGTATTGACTTTATTAATGATGATTGATGTTTGGTAATAATCAAATATCTCAGTAAAACTGTACTAAGTGTAGTTTTGTCTTTGCCTTCGTAGTTCATTTAATAAAAAAGTTTTCGCACTCTGTATTTTCAATATATCTGTAAGAGTATTTGATAAAAAAATAAAAAGCATGTTTTTTTGTATTCGTGTAATTTCCATTCATTTAAAAAAAACCCATCAAAAGCATTTAACTTTCATAGGAACTCGTCTCTTACACACCTAACTCATGAAATTTTTGCTGCGAGTTCTCGTATGGTAATTTCAGGATAAATAATATGAAAACGGAGCTGGGAAAGTTCACACCTCTTCCATCACTAGCTGCTGTAAAGCACATTCAATAAAATCTGCTATTCTCTATACAATTAATTACTCATCAGTGTTATCAAAGATTATCATCACTGATGCTATCATAACCGGAAGCAGTCTGGTAGTATAACGTATCACGTACAATGTTTGTCTCTTTTTGAAACTGATGATTGATGTTTTGTTTTTCGTAAATTACAATGAAGGTTATATTATAGTTATCTATAATAATATATTATTCTTTGTGGATTATTACGGTGACAAAGGGCCACAATACATTTAATTTTAATAAAAGTATGACGATAATAAACAAAATACTTATAATAACAACATCTGAAATTTCCTCGCTCATTGTCAATTCTGTAAGTTCTTATTTCAGCTGAGGTGATATTGATATGTTGACATTTGACGGTCTAACACCCAGTCTGGTGTTTCCAAGTGCAAAATGTCCTGATATCATTACACGTCCTCCATCAACCATATACTCCTCCTGAAAACAGATTATCTAATTGACTACAATACTGCTTTTATCGACTATCTACGCATATAAACAGATATAGGCAACACTGGAAATACATTTCCAATCCAGACACAGATATTGTACGTAAATCAGCAAGATACTGTCAATTGAACTTATGGAGCAAAGAAGTCTAAATATAAACTATTAAAAATAAACTTTTTTGTTCTAGAAATGCATCCCATTAGTTTAAGTTTAAAACAAAAAACCAAACTGCTAACATTGTAAACCACCTAGTGTAGTAGTGAAATACCTATTAAGTCAGTATAAAACAAATAAAATATTTAAATTAGAGTTTGACGCTTCCCTTTGTTCCTCGGATTCGATTTCCAATCCAACAGCATTTTTTTCCTATATAATTAAATTTATTATTATAATTTCAATTTCTCTTTTCATTGTCTACTTCCAATAACAACATGAAAAACATACAGTTTCCGTTGCAATCGAATCCATTGAACTTACGGTCGGTATAGTTTCAATATTTTCGGGGTTGCCATTAAAATTTTGTTTCCATCTAAAATACATAGAACTGTGGATTTCTATTCTAAATATATTATTATGTTGGGCCAATATGTACTTTGGCGGCCCACGAGCTTATACTTGTTATACTTGATCGAAATGCAAAATTTTACCGCACTCTAGCTTTTTTTATAGACATAAGGATAGATTGACATACCCCTTAAGTCAGTAAGTTAAAATCGTTGGCCATTAGAGTACAGTGCCTTGACTGATTACAATTTTATACCAATGATACTTGAAAAGTCCGGACAAATCACCATTTTTATACAATTAAAACACCCATTGAAACCACAGAAATAAAAAACGAAATGTTATAAGCATATTCATCTTGCTTCACAAGCTTTCTTTATGGCTGCATCATTCTTTCTTTTTTTTTTGACACAATGGTAAGCAGGTATTTTACGCCCCATTGTAAAAGCTTATAACAAAAATATTAGTTGAAGCAACGATAATTAATAACTAGGTAGGTACTTATGATAATAAAATTTAATACGGTTGTGGATACTTACATACAGTCAACGATTAAACTTTTGCGGTCGTAGTATATCCAGCCAGTTTTACAATGAATGCACTCGTAGCATCGCTCGGAACGCGTGCGGTACAAAGCGACACAGATCGGACCTCCAAAGGCGCTGGCGGCGCCGTACTGAACGGCGTCTTGATTTGCACTACTATATATTGCATTTTACGGGTGATGTTCAGAGTCTTATAAAATAATAATTAATGAAATTATTATAAAATTATATACATATTTCAGTAGTTCAATGATTGTAGATTACTTTTATGACAGTTTTTGATAGTAATTCTATTTAATTCAATATCAAAATACGAGGTAAACCTGCGTTATTTTTTGGGGAAACTCACGGAGGTTAGATGTTTTTTTAATAATTAATGAGATGGAAAATCAAGATTCTAATACATTATGTTGCAATAAAAACATATTTCTGGTGTCGTAGTAATTAATTTGATCTAATTTATTGAACATTATTAATTGTGAGATTAAAGCGTTTTTAGTTGTGCATATTATCGTTTTTTCCGTAAACTAGCTGCGGTAGAACGATCAGTACAAAAAAATGGAAATAGTATTTGAAAATATTCTACATTAATTTTCAATAGAAAGAATAAATCTATTGTTTACTTCTATTGGAAGTAGTCAAAATCTCTTCTAAGGGGGCAAACGAGGCGCTCAGAAATTGCGATTTATTGCAAAAAATGTGAAAGGGCTCTTAATATATGCAAACCGGCAGATCAATATTTTTTCCGTCCTCGGAAAAGTACGTGAACCGTCCGAGCATAGATAGAAAGGGATGTCGCTGTGATATACAAAGCGACGTCCCTTTCAAACTGTACTCAAGTAGAGATCAACACTTGTCATTCTGTAATAAGAGCCTAAATCATTTACCCGATTTCCATTGGCAATCATATTGCATCGTTCCATTATCACTCTGCCGCAATCAAGTAAATCAGAAAATCCCCGCTTGCGCTCACCCTAATACTAGTTTGATCACCCAATCAATCAAATCCATTGTTAGATCTTTTTACTGGCAGGTTCTTTCTTCCTGATGTTCATCAGCAGTAAAGTTATTGAACAGTCAGTATGTAAGAATGATGGAAGACATGTAAAAATATACCACATAAATAGTTGTAAATTTTTATTGTCTTAAATCTAGGTGCGATTTATTTCTTAGCTTTCGCTTCCCGTGTTGCTTTCCTCTCTGCTGCTCTCGCCAACTGTTTTGCAGGTTTAAGATTGCCTTTTTTGCAAAACCGCTGATTTCTCAGGAATTTGGGATCCATCTGAAAAATTAACAATAGCAGTTTAAAAAGATTGATTTTAATAATGAGCCAACTAATTTGATAAAGGGGAGTAAAAACAATTGTGCAGTCTTTGAAGCCCAAAAAAGTGTATATTTTTCATAGTAATTGAGACATATCGGCAAAATAAATGGTGAATAAAGGCAAATTTGGGCACAGAAAAGTATAGTTGAAACTGCAAACAAAAACAGTACCTATTGCCAGTTAAAAAGTTGATCTGAGCATGAGGAAATAAAAATATGTGAAATTTTTCACATACAATCTAACTAATATTTAAGGAAAATTTGTATCTGTAACAAATAAACTCAAAAACTTCTATATACTATTTTATATTCTGATAACTTAGTTTCTATAGTATAAAAATAAATCTGACCTGTGTAAAGCCAGGGAAAGTTGCTATATTGAGAGTAAATTATTATTTTCAAACCAATTCAAGGTTATTCTACCATTACAACGAAAAATATGTCTATAAAGTTTTTATCTCTAGTGAATAATTTGTCTATTTATTTCACATTATTCAAAATAACATGGGAGTACTTACACCAAGAGTAGATTCATGCCTGAACTTCGTAGGTTTTTTGATTCCATTCCTGTGGGCTTTGCGGTCTGGAATATAGAATTATTGTAAACATGAATTTACAAACCATAGCGAGAAGCCCACCTGACAATTTTGCATACATTTCTAAAAGTATTTATTTCAATTAAACTAAATGTATAAGTACCAATATTGAGTATTTTTATTGAGCAGAAAAACAGTTTACATACTTTGGTTATGATTTGTGTGATTCTTCGACTTCGCCATTTCGTCGAAATTTCTGTTCTGTAAAAAAACTTCACTTATATTAAAATGTCACTTGCTTATATCTTTATTCAAGTTAAAAAAATAAAATATAATACGAGGATTTTACAGATTTATTAAGATTTAACACAATGTAAACATGAAGACCAACCTCTCAAAACGAAAAAGAACCTCCGTTCTTAAATGTCACTGTCAGTAACGTCCCCCTCTGTCATTCTAAAAGTTCTCCCAAAAGGGAAAGCAACGGAAACTACACTGTTTGTACTCCATAGACATATTTGCTATGAAGGATACAATGGTGTCGATTCTGGCATGTTTCTCATAACCTATACTGAAAGACAACAATCAATGGTGTCAATTCTGACACGATTCTCTAAACCTAAACTTAAATTTGACAACAGTGGTGCCAATTCTGGCGTGATTCTCTAAACTTAAATCTAAATTTAACATCAGTCTCTCCTTTTCATTATGTATAGAGAATGACAAGGATATACTGCTGTCAAATTTAAGTTTAGGTTTAGAAAATCATGCTAGAATCGACATCAATGTATCCTTGTCATTCTCTTCAAGGAATGAAAAGGAAAGATTGATTTTTTTGGTTTTAAAGGAGAATTAAGCCTTAGAGCATATACCAATTAAGATGGCAAAGGCTGGTAAACCCCTCCGGCAAAGTACGTGGCCATCGGACCATATGCTTCAGGCATTGTCCTAATACAACGCGATAACGCGAATGAGCGATGCGATCATCGTACGAGTCGATGATCAAACATATTGATCTAGAATAGGTGTCCTAATAGGTGATCGCGCGATGCATTCGCGCGACTAAAATGTTTAAAAACTGAGTTCGCGCGAACGCGCAATCAAACCTATTAATGATGAATAGATGTCCTAACTGAAGTTCGCGCGATGATCGCGTCGCGTCGATAGGAAGCGGGGAGAGGGCACTGCTAACCCGACCAAACTGTGTGTCAATCGTGATCGCGTATTCGCGGTCTATTAGGACACCCAGTTCGCGATCACGCGATGGTCGCATCGTTTAAACGCGCGATGATCGCGTTATCGCGTTGTACTAGGACAATGCCTTATATTCTAAAAAAATTGTATTCTGGTATAAAATTCAATTAAAAGAAAAAGCGCGAAATGAATTCATTCGAATGACAAAAATTAGGTAGAAATTTGATGTAACGAAAAATTTATGAAATTAATGAATGGTATTTTAATAATGGAAAACGTTCAATCAGATTTAATCAATTGCATCTGCCGATACAAATAGCAATTCTAGTCAAAAAAGTCAAGAAATTCTAGTCTCGCCTTCATGTCGGTAACATCAAAGGGTCTGGGGTAGTTATGTGTATTGCTAAAACTATTCCTCCCCATTCTCGGTTTCGCTTAACATGCTAGTCGGCTGAAGTGTGTTTTTACATATTTTTCACATGCATGTTTTTGTGAAAATTCAATGGTGAACAAAAAAAAAGTCGACAAATTAAACCCACGAATCAGTGTAATTATTTTAGAACTTTATGCAAGCCAGTCAAAGCGATTCATCATCATCATCATCAGCCTATTAATGTCCCCCCTGCTGGGGCACAGGGCTTCCCTACGGAATAGGAAGATTGGGCCTTGCCTTGACCCACCACGTGGGACCAGTGCGGATTGGTTGGTGCTAACAACTGCAGGTGCAGCCGGGACCAACGGCTTAAGGTGCCTTCCGAAGCATGGAGGAACCCGAGATAGTAAATTTTTGGCCACCCTTCCAATGACCGACCATTGCGAAAGTTAAAACTTCAACGGTCGCAGCCAAACACGCTAACTACATGCGCCATCGAGCTCCTCCAAAACGTTTTATCCTATATAATAATATAATACAGAGGATAATTATGAGCTGCCCGGAAATGCGGAGAGCCTGTTTCGTGTACTTTCGTCAACGCCCCTTCTCGACCAAACGTTGACCCGAGACCTCTCGTCGAGAATGTGGATCGGGTTTTCAGTGCAATGGAGTTATTTTCTAATTTTTTATTTAGTGACATTTCAGGGGGTTGGCCCCCCTGTCTACGTCAATGAACGTAAATCTCATACAGAATATGACGTTTACATATCGTTTGCAAAGGCGGCGGCCTTAGTTCCAATTTTCGCTATATTCATAAAGATCCTTGTCGTACTATAACCTATAACCCAGCCATAACCATAATTATACCGTAACTTTTTTCTAAATAATTATGACATCTACGTTAAGGTGGAAATATATTTCTCTGACGTGTTGTGTCGTGATGCGACAGAGAGCTGTTGGATTCATACATTTAGTACTGTAAGAGTGAGGACGCTGTTGACGCCTTGCGACATACAAAAATCCAATTCTAACCGTCCTAAATGTGTGGATCCGAAACTTATAGCTCTCTGAGGCGTCAAGGTACAACACGACAGAAGAATATATTTCCGCCTTTTTGATCATCCCCCACAAGAGGAATTCTTGAACCATCAAGTCATTTGCACATAAATGAGATTAAAGTGCGGTCTGAATCAAGGGCGGATCCAGCTTTGGCGCCAGAGGGGGGTCATATAGCCAGCTTTGGCGCCAGGGGGGGGGTCATATGGTCGTGGTATATTAAATATTGAAAGTACTTAAATAAAATCCTCCTGGGTTTGGTCCATCTGTACCTAGCCCAGGGGGGGGGTCATGACCCCCATGACCCCCCCCCCCCTGGTGTTGAAGATATGATTTTATGTAAAACCTTCTTGTTAGGGCGACTCGATGGCCTGTTCTCTATGTCACCGTTACTTCATTCTAGGACTTTTGCAAATACGTCAACGGTGTATACCTATAAAAATGTAATGTGATTGGGACTACATAAACTAAATATTACGAGCTGATTGTCTTTCCTTTCTACGATCCACTTCCTCAACATGGTAGCAAAGGAGCGTGGTTGAATAAAATAAATAGAAAGAGGAAGATAAGTGGAAATTATTTGAAAAGGTCAGTACCGAAACAATTGAAGACGTAAGGTACCGAAAATGGAAGTAAAGATAGGAGAAGTAGGCATTCAGATATTTGATGGTGCAAATTACGAAAAATGGAAATTTAGATTAAAGTTGTTGTTACAAATGAAGGAATGCCAAGAAGCTGTGGAAAATGATATAAAACATGAAGGTATGACAGACACAGAATGGAGAAAAATTGATTTAAAGGCTAGAAATATTATAGTGAATAGCGTAAATAATACTCAGCTCGATATAATAATGAATGAAAGTACGGCTTACCAAATGATTAAAAAATTGGACGAGATGTATTTAGTAAAAGGCAGTGCTAATAAATTATTAATTAAAAGGAAAGTACTAGAAACAAAATTCAAAGATGGCGACGATATACTAGAATTCATACAAACATTTGAAAAACAAATCAATGAATTGAAAAATGCTGGAGAAGTCGTGTCGGAAGAGGATAGACTGAACTATTTATTGCTTGCATTACCTGAGAGTTTTGCACATATTGTAAATATTGTTGATGCGATGCCGACAAAGGATCGGACAGTGGAGTACGTGAAGTCCAAATTACTACTTGAAATGAAAAGAAAACAGAACGAACAAGAAGTTCATACGTTCAGTTCTCGATCAAATCAACACCAAGATGGGTCCAGGAATAATGATAACTGCTTTGAATGCAACCGCCTAGGACACTACAGGAGGGATTGTCCTAAGTTAGCACGTCGTGGTCATGGTCGTGGTAGAGGACGCGGATATGGAGGCGGACGACGAGGAACTCACAGAGGATATAGAGGAGGATACAACAATAGAAGCGTGAATACAGGACAAAGTAGCAGCACCAGTGATGGATTTGGATTCAACGTAGAAGTAGAAGCGATGACAGGAGCTACCGAAACGAAAGCGGATATAACATGGTTATTGGACAGCGGATGTAGCGATCACATCGTAAATGACGATAAATTCTTTCGTGATTATAAAATTTTAGAAACACCTGTGAATATTAAGGTAGGTGATGGATTTTGTCTTAAGTCGGAGAAAATGGGAAATGTAACAATGTACTGTAAAGCAGGAGGTAAGTCAAATAAAATTGATGTTTCAAATGTATATTATGTTCCAAATATGAAAAAGAACTTATTAAGCGTTTCATGCATTGTAAATAGAAATAATACAATTCAATTTAGAGGAGAAATAGCAAATATATATAATGTACATATAGGTTTAATGGCCGTCGCACGCAAGAAAAATAAATTGTACGAATTAGATGGCAGAGTTAATTTAGGTGCAGGTACAGTAGCATACACAAGTGGTAACATTATGTCAGAAAAAGAAAAATGGCACAGAATACTTGGGCACCCTAACTTTAAGAAACTAAATGAAATGTGCAGGCATAGGGTTGTAGATGGGTTACCTATCACTTTAGGCGAGGGTTACGTGCAATGTGAAGTTTGTTTGATGAACAAAATGACAAATCTACCTTTTGGAAATCAAAGACGACGGGCAACAGACTTGTTAGAGATTATCCACACGGATGTGGCAGGCCCGATTACGCCCACTGGATATAAGGGGCAACGATACTTTGTGTCATTCATAGATGACTATAGTAGGTTAGCTTATCTATGCTTAATTAATAACAAGAGTGATGTTTTTAATTGTTTTAGAGATTATGTAAATATGGTGGAAAATCAAACAGGTAAGAGAGTGAAAGAAATCAGATGTGACAATGGCGGAGAATATATTAACAACGATTTCTACACTTACACAAAGCAAAAAGGTATTTATTTAAAACCAGGGCCAGCTTATACACACGAGTTGAACGGTGTAGCTGAAAGATTTAACCGAACCATAATGGAGAGAGCGAGGTGTCTGCTTACAGAAGCAAAGATAAATAAGAAATATTGGCCTGAATGCGTTATGACTGCAGCATATCTAGGTAATAGAATATTAACAAATACGTATGAAAAAAAAACACCGTACGAAATTTTTATGGGGAGGAAGCCAAATGTAAGTAATTTAAAAATTTTCGGATCACAGTGTTATGTACGAATTCCAGACGAATTACGCACATCAAAACTTAACCCAAAGGCTACAAAAGGTATATTAGTAGGATACACAGATACGGGATACAGAGTATTAATAAATGAAAAAATAGTCATTAGTCGTCACGTTACATTTATAGGTACGAAAGAAGAACAGATAATAAAGATAGTAAATACTGAAGATGAAACTGATGAAAACGAAGAATTTTATGATAGTGTTGATGACTCAAAGGAAAAATCAAGTAGAGCTGTGACTGAGGAGGTGACGGATATCCGACCAAAAAGAGATAGAAAAATGCCAGAGAAATATAAAGATCATGTTGTATATATAAATTTTAGTGATGCACTGGTACCAGATACGTATGATGAAGCAATAAAAAGTCCGGATGTAAATAAATGGAAAGATGCAATGAAAGAGGAATTGAACAGTTTGGAAAAGAACGAAACGTGGATTTTAGTTGAGAGACCTGAAAATAAGAAAATAATAGATGTTAAATGGATCTTTAGGATCAAGTCAAATGGAAAGTATAAGGCAAGAGTAGTCGCACGAGGTTTCCAACAGATGTATGAAGAAAACGAGGAAATTTATTCACCAGTAGCGCGAATGACGACAATGAAAGCTTTATTATCAATTGCATGTGTAAGAGGATGGAACATTGAACAAATGGACGTTGAGACAGCATTCTTGAATGGGAGTATTAAGTCTGAAGTTTATATTTACCCACCTGATGGATATTGTACAGAGAATAATAAAGTGTGCAAACTACAAAAAGCTCTTTATGGATTGCGAGAAAGCCCACGTGATTGGTATGAATGCTTTCACGAATTCACGTCAAGCATTAATTTCAATAGGTCAGACTATGACTATTGTTTGTATACAGGGTGTGTAAATAATGTAAATATATATCTATGTCTGTATGTGGATGATATTTTGATTTGTGGGGAGAAAAATGAGGCAATTGACGAAGTTAAACGGCTATTGAACAATAGATTCCGAATGAAAGATCTGGGAAAGGTGAAACAGTATCTTGGAATAGATGTAGTTTTTGAACCAAAAGAAGGCAGAATGACTTTAAGCCAGGAAAAATACATTGTAAGTTTAGCTGAAAAGTATAACGTAATCGAATCAAAGAACTTTGAGACACCAATGGAAATGAATTTAAGCATTGATCCAAGTCAAGATGTCAGTGCAACGTTAAAGTATAGAAACTTGATTGGAGCTCTTCTGTATGTTGCGAGTGGAACACGGCCAGACGTATCTTATAGCGTTAACTATTTGAGTCGTTTCCAAAATGCTTATAGTGATACTCATTTCAAATATGCCTTGCGAGTTCTCAAATATCTTTACTGTACGAGACATTTAAAGATGAATTTTGACGCCGACTACAAAGAACAATTGGACGCTTATGTAGATGCTGATTGGGCCGCAGATAAATCGGATAGGAAGTCGACGACAGGAATCCTTATAAGAGTTTTTAATAATCCGATCATGTGGAAGTCACATAAACAGAAAATAGTGTCAAGAGCATCAACTCATGCCGAGTATTATGCTTTGGCAGACTGTGTTGAAGAAGTACTTCCATTAATAGGTGTGTTACGCGATTTAGGCGTTGAGATTAGGGATCCAGTAAAAATTTACGAAGACAACAGCGGGGCTATTGCGTTGTCAAAGAACGGAAAGTTTTGTAAAAATTCTAAGCATATTGACATAAGCTACCACTTCGTATATGACTATGAAAAAAAGGGTATTATTAATATAGTAAAGGTTCATACAGAAAAACAATTAGCGGATATATTGACCAAGGCATTAGGAAAAAATAAATTTATAAAACTTAGAGAACTAGCAAACGTCAAATGAAATGTTAATGACAGATAGTCTTATGTTTTTGTTAAGTCCTTTTATTATTATTTTAAATTGTTATATTGGTATTAAGTTGTTTTTTTGTTGTTTTCTATAAAATCAAGGAGGTGTGTTGAAGATATGATTTTATGTAAAACCTTCTTGTTAGGGCGACTCGATGGCCTGTTCTCTATGTCACCGTTACTTCATTCTAGGACTTTTGCAAATACGTCAACGGTGTATACCTATAAAAATGTAATGTGATTGGGACTACATAAACTAAATATTACGAGCTGATTGTCTTTCCTTTCTACGATCCACTTCCTCAACACCTGGATCCGCCCTTGGTCTGAATTGATTGAGTTTTGCGTTTAAACAGTGCACATGGCACCGTATTCAATTCGGACCATTCATTTACACTGTTCGTAACGTAACGTAACGTTCGTAAAGGAGTATTTGCGGGATTTCATCGAGTGCAGTTGGCGTCATAATTTAATTATTCTTAAATTCGTCCATACTGGACATTGTGAAATAAAATTGGTGTGATTTTGCGTTACAATCGTCTGCGCAACTGAAGAATTAGGAATCTTTAAAATATTCGCTACATCGAGCAGGTGGATGTGAGAACTTTATTTTAGTGTTCACTACCTCACAGAAGCTTGTCGAGAAAGCTGACTCGATACATTTTGTGCCAAACACTCCTAGAAACATTCGCGTCACACCCACATTCTAATGTAAAATAAAGGAAGAGTAATAAAAAAATAAGATGACGGCTGCATTGCTTCGCCTTTGCATTTCCCAACAGGGAAGAAAGAATATAAAAAAAATACAATTTGACAGTTAATGACGTGACTTTGACGACGAATAGTTTTTGGGTTGATGATGATGATTTGATCGGACGGAGTTCAGCTGAGGTTTCGTGTTTCGTGGATTATTTGTGGTTAAAGTTTGTAGTATAATTTTCTCATAACGTCATCATAGTTACGCTATTATACATTTGATTGATAATGGTTGTGTTAGAGGGGGATGTTGGTGATGGGAAACATATGTCTGCAGAAGAAACCGAAAAAGAACTTAAAACTTCCTCTCTACTCAGCTTAGAAAGTATCCTTTTCAATGATTAAAAGATTATGATGGTAAATTTGACCTGTATCAATACATATTAATAGCGCATTCACTGTTTTTTATGAAACTTCACTTTTTTATTGTAACCTGTATCATTTACATTTTGTGTTCTTATCAAAATATACACTGAAGTTCCCTTATACTTCAGAGGCTATGAATTTGAGCCCGACTTAAATAACAAAAACTGGACAACAGAAGAAATCTAATCTTATGTATTCAACTTATGACTTCATTCATGTTTCTGTAAAAGGAAACCCATAATAGTATTGTGAAAAGATTGAATGAAAGCACAGTAATACTTTTAAGGACAAATGTACACTCTTTATCTATAGACATGATAGTACTTTCAAAAATATTTCCTATATGTAATGGCTACTTTATGTACCATATCATAATTCTACCAATATTACAGTTATTACCCAATAGTTTTTCTTTATAAGTTCAATTAAGGACCATAATACAGAAGTGACTACAATAGTGAATTCCATTGCGCTCTACAGTGGCATGTTTCAAATATCATCCAACTTGTCTCATACCACTATTTGAATAAACATGACTTTTTAAAGTATAAAGTTATAATGTGTGTACTGTTGGTGGTTCAGGGCGCAATGTAACTAATAATCTGACTATGATCATATAGTTTAATGGCTCCTGATTTCAAGTATGCTATGTTAATTATGTGGAAGAATTGCATTTGTGGGTAAAAATTTAGATATAAGTCGCCCGTTTTGGAGTTTGCGAGGGGGGAGGGAATTGAACCCCCCCCCCCACTATTTCCGGTCGCTGGAAATACTTATTAGTTTTCATAAAAAATTTTTTTCTCCCGCTTCGCTGGCTGCTGCGGTATGGTAATTTCACTAACTTAACCTAGTGTGAAGTATCACCACTTGGGCCCTGGAAGTACAGTTTAGCTGCGAGGTGTTCTGCATATATTTTGAGTTAACACCAATCTCTTTTCTTCAGCGCATGTCACACACTGAAAAACATAGCCAAATTGTTAAAATATCACAAATTATAACACGGAAGGACTTTACACAAAAACTCGAAAGCAACGGAATGAAAAACGCACAACGAATCTGTCAAAATCTACATTCAAAATGGCGGCTTGCGTTTCGTTTGATGCGTTTGTTTAATATTTTGCTTTAAAGACAACAATTATACAAAACTAATATAAAAATTATCTTCTGTTCCATTCATTTACAATTTCATTTCACGAATTTCTGAAAATAGTTTTTAAATATTTATATGCAACTCCGCCAACCAAAGTTACTTTAAATAGGGAGTCAAAAACGAACGAACGAACTTTTACCCGCTTACACATCCAGTAGCCTCAAATTCAGGCGACTTGTTTCTAAATCCAACCACATTTGTGTCCCAACTGTGTAACCCTTCATGTGAATTGTTAATTCAGAAATATGTACAATAGATGATTAGTTAAGACAGTTTCCTGTTATGCACTAAGTAATTTTCATGTCCTGCATGATTAAACACCTTTTGTGAGCAATAATATTCTTATCCTATACCTTCATCAGTTTTTCGAATAACTAAGGATGCTCAACAACAGCATGGCTTGCGTCATGGTGACTACCAGCGCTACCGAGGCTTTTGTTCTAGAAGAATCAGACGCCTACGTAAAGTGCTGAAAATACCACAGGTTACCTTTTTATGCTTCTTTAATTAATTTCTAACAATATTTGTTATAAAACTCTTGGTTCTGGTCTAAGAGAGACACTGAGTTTCTGAATAAAGAAGTATCCATATACATTGTTTTGGGCATCCAACAGGGGATGCACCATACACCAATGTGTTGTGTGGGGCTGTAACTAACTTATGAACTTTCCTCACACACATAAGTACTATTGGCACAAACCTTGCAGTTTATAAATCAAAATACAGGAGAGAAGCAGCATCATCAAAAGACTGAAATGAAAGGATGTTCTTGATGAATTAAAGAGGTTGAAACCCATGGCTTAATTTGCTCCTCTCAAACATGATTAGCAACTCAGCATAATTACTTATAGTCATGCGACTGATTATATTTATAAAAAAAGCAACACACTGCATACAATGTTTAAACACTTTCATGCCACGTCTTAAAGAAGAGTAGCTTGTGAAACTTGGTATGATATTTATTTTATTTAGGAAACCTCTTAACTTCAAAATGTTGAAAGAACCCCTACCTGGTATTTATTAGGTTAGGAAGAGGTGATAAATCTTAACTGAATATTTTTTTACTTAAAAAGTTGCTATGGTGTTAACAGGGAGACAGACGTCACTACCGTAGGCGTGACGTTACCACCACTCATCTTACGGTGCCAAGTGCAGAGAACCGACTTCTGTGCGTGCCGTTATTGCAAGCTGAACGAGCTTGGGCGCACGCCATGCAGCTACGGCAAGAGGCAAACACCGAGCCGCGCAAGAAGTTCCATCTAGTTTCACGCTTGAAGAAGGCGTGTTCTCATGCTCAAACGTTGCTGCAGCTTTGTGAGGTAATTTTAATTTGCATTTTTTAATGCCAGTTGTATTGTGTGGAGAAAAACAACTTAAAATGTTGGGTAGACAATCAAGCAGCATGAAATGCATTTCCACGAAAGTACTTTAATAATTATATACATATTTAGGTACGTGCGTAGTTTGCATATCATTTGTATCAATCAACACAACTAAACGATCGTGCATACATGACAGCACGTAAAATTCATGTCACCCTGTGTTGTCGTCAAGGGGTGCCTAAAAATTTAATTTTGTAATACTATTATCAATAGCAAAGTGGGGTATGCGACGCTCGCACGCAGCTCGAGGCTGGGCAATACGCAGCGTGGTTAGGCGACGTGCTACTAGTAGAATTGCAGCAGTGGCGCGCCGCTGCCAACAGTCTGCATCGCGCGCAGCTCATGCTCGACAAACTGTGCTTCAGAGACAGTCTAGTATGCGACGTGCTGATAGTAGAATTGCTGCAGTGGCGCGCTGCTGGTGCTCGACAAACTGTGCTTCAGAGACAGTCTATCTCTTGTTTGTTGTCAATAGCAAAGTGGGGTATGCGACGCTCGCACGCAGCTCGAAGCGGGGGCATACGCGGCGTGGTTGGGCGGCGTGCTGCTTGTAGAGTTGCAGCAGTGGCGCGCCGCTGCCGACAGTCTGCAGCGCGCGCATCTCGTGCTCGACAAACTGTGCGCCGCGCTGCCTGAGGACGAGCGACAGGTGTACAGGCAGAAGGTAACTTTAATTCTCTTCTTTCTCTCCCTCTTTTGTTTTCAAAGCTCCTTCATCTGTCACCACTGGCAGCATCTATAGCAGTCTAGTGCTGAAAGTATTTCGGTAGTGATTATATAGGTGGTTCGTCATGCTGAGTGACGAGCACTCAATCTCATCAAATTAAGTGGAAAGAAACGAGTATTTAATAATATATATATGTATATATATATTTAATGCATTATACAAACTTGTTCAATACTTCTCTTATTACACCTAAGTACAGAACAACAGACCTATATTACTACAACTAGTAAGAGTAGCGGATCGGGTCTAAATCTACCCTTACAATATTTTACAATTAGACATTAAGACAATTAAGTGGTTTTGAAGTTACATGCTAGGCCGTCGACGGCGTATACGTATTGACAACACCTTGTCTTCTTGGTGTGATATCAAAGCCGCTGTTCCTCAGGGTGGCGTTCTATCTCCTCTCCTATTTTCTATCTTTATAAACTATTTCACACTCTCGCTTTCATGTTCATATCACCTTTATGCTGATGACCTCCAGATATACACTCAGACCCCTTTATCTTTTAACAATCAACGCAAATTTGTCGCTTGTAAGTAGTTGTGAGTCATTTAGTCTAACCTTAAACCCTGAAAAAACTCAATCGATCATAATTGGTAGTCCTTATTTTATTTCCAGGATCGACTTTGATCAATTGTCTTCTATTATTTTGAACGGTTCTATTATTCCCCACTCAAAACCCCTTGGGAAACCTGGGTGTTGTCTTTGACCAGAGTTTCTCCTGGAAACCGCATGTGGAGGCAGTCATAAAAAAGGCGTTTTCTGAGTATGGTTCCCTTAGTCGCTTGCGGAACTTTTTGCCGATCAGTACCAAAATCAACTTGGCAAATTGAACTCTCTTGCTGTCCATCATCGACTACGCTGACGTGTGCTACACCGATCTGTGGGAAGAACTTCTCAATAAATTAGAGCGACTGCAAAATGTTTGTATCAGGTTTATTTATAATCTACGAAAATTCGACCACGTGTCTCACTTCCGTAATAAACTCAATTGGCTTCCTATTCGCCGGCGCAGGGATTTACACACTCTCACGGTTCGCTATTCTATACTTCTCCTGCCATCTTCTCCGACTCGTCTTAAGCAGTATTTCTCCTTCCTATCCTCTTCTTCTCAGATCTAACTGCGATCCTCTTCTTCTTCTTGAAATTCCCTGTCACTCTTCTGACTTTTCTGTGCACGCTTCTCGGCTGTGGAATTCCCTCCTTGAAGGAATCAGAAAGGCTCGTTCACTTAATTCCTTTAGCGATCAAGTAAAAGCTATTGCCTTTCTGTTTCTTAAATTCATTTAGCATCCCATTAATTTCCTTCTTCTTAAATATTTATTTAAGGATATCTCCTGTATTTACTTTTGCACCCTTCTATATTTATCTGTATTATTATTCCTCTTCCACCATAGGTTGCCTGGAAGAGATTGCTGTTTATCAATAAGGCCGCCTATTGTACTCTTTCTTCTGTTTTATTTGTTTATGTCCTGTGTCCTTTATTGTGTACAATAAAGAATTATTTATTATTATTATTAAGACTTTCATTACCCAAGTTTTTGCTAGTTGAAATTATGGAGTATACAGACAGACTAAGATGAATTCGAATCAAGTGTAGAAAAATTACCTGGAGGTTTCGTAAGCCGTGATCTTTCGAAGTGACGTCACAACAATGTAGTCATGGGCCTATCGGGAATGAATAGGTAGTAGTTTACATAATAACTTTTATATAAAAAAGTAGTTTATTTCGTTAACATTCTTTTAACAATCTTATTCCTGTGATTGTTGTACTCACGTTTATGTAGCAGAGCCTGGTTGAACCTGGTATATGCAGACTAAGAACATAGCTAGGATACACTGAACACTTCACACTTGATTTTATAAAGTTATTTATTAGTTTTTTTTATTTTATTTAACACATTTAGAGAGTCCACACAATTTGTCTGATTGTCAAAATTTTTTCACTAGCTTGTCATATTTGAATTCACATTATTTTTATAGAGATATGACAGTTTCCAGACAAGACTAACTTCTTAGCCAGCCTGTAACAATTCCGTGGCCAGAACCATATGGGAAGCATGTAATAATGCTCGGGATGTGTGTGTATATGTATGTGTTGGTCTGATATGTACCAGCCCTACGAAATATCGATATTATATCTTGGAATTAGTGAATAACCGCTTTTATGATTAACAGTCTGAAGAACTGAAGCCAAGTCTACGCTATTGCGCTTACAACATCGGTGACGAGTCGGCGGCCGGCGACCTGGTCGCTATGCGTGGCCAAGGTCTCATCGAAAATCTAGATTCACTTATGGCCCAAGCAAAGTAAGTACCTATATTTACGCATATACAATAAACCCTTCTGTTAGAAATATTGTCCTAAACATTATTTAGCAGTCGTAAGTATACTTAACCTACACCCATGCTTTAAAACCTCTATAAAAGATTCTGAAACATCCAATGTAACCAAAAGGATGATACTGGGTGTCTCAAAAGAAATTTTATATTTATTTAGCTTACTGCGTGAACGCAACGTATCCGAGGGGCGCGGGGGTTATGTCAATCGGTAGCCTGGCTCTTGGGAATTCTCTTAGGTTTCTCGGGAGCAGACCGCGCGTTGTGCGTGCGAGTTTTACACAAACGGTGATTCGGCGACTGTAGCGCGTAGAAAATTCTGCAGTATTCCAGGTTTTCGCCACTTAAATAAAGCATTCCTCTCATTCGACATTGCGTTAAAAAGTTTGAAGAGACTGGTACAACACTGGATAAATCAAAATCCGGGCGACCTAGGTCATCTAAAACGGTAGAAAACGTGGAGAATGTTAATCAGTCTGTTCGTGACGACAAGAACCTTTCAATTCGGAAGCGCGAAAGGAATTTTACTGTTCGATTAAATGAGTGCCGAGAACGCGAGGGTCTACATTTAGACGATATTATTTTTAAGAAATAAATCCCCAAAAAGTGTTTTTTTTTTTAAATAAATTAATAAACATTTTTTCTATATACGGCTTACTTTTTTTTATCAATCCACTAAATTATTAGTCGCCTAACTGTGCTAACTTTATTGGACTTTAGTAACGCTTTTAACACCGTCAACTTTGATGTTCTCTTATCCGTCTTACGCTCTCTTAACCCTAGATAACTAAACATTCGTTCACGCGACTACGCCCCTGTTCGAGAAAGTCAAGTGCACTTACTTCCGTTCACTCTGTTCCCGTCATACTTTGTTTACCTTCCTGATTGGTGCGAATAATTCAGCGGGTGATGCTGTTGCGATCACACGATAATTTGGAAGTGACCTACGGCTACATCGTCGTCAGGTTGACGAAAGTTTAGTTACTACGTACGTTAATTTGCAAAGGTATGTACAATTATTTTTTATATTTTTTATTATTTATACAAGGCTACCACGAACTTTTTTATTTAATTTTATTTAAATTGATATATTTTACTATTTAATTATATATTGAGCTATTTATAGCGAAATTAAATATAAAAAAAACATTTTATGAGATATTTCTTAGTTGTGACTAAATATTTTTATTATTTTTAGATTAATTTGAGAAATCAAGAAGAGCAGATAAGTAAGTGACTCGAAGAAGTGGAAGGTGAAGAGGAGGGTTCTAACGATTCGACCTCAGAGATGGAGGATAATGTGGAGGAAGAAATACATATCAACACCTCTGATTCCGATTTCTCATACAAATCTTCAGAACCTGAGGATGACATCATACGATCAAGTAAGAGACAGAGAACTGAAATTGTAGACTCTGATGACTTTAGAGGATATTATTGAAACTAATTCCCCTCAATCTTCAAACCAAGGCAACCAGCGTGTTCTTCAAGTAACTCCCAGATTCCTTTATGGGAAAAACAAACATAAATGGTCGTCTCTACCTAGATCAGTTACTGCTCGTACTCTGAGAGGGAACATCGTATATTTTATACCAGGTCCAAGAGGAGAAGCTAGGGAATTACAGAAACCAATAGATTTACGACGCGATTTTGTCATAAAGATGGAAGACTAACTTATGGACCCTTGGCTAAGGGAGCGATTACAAACGGTGACTTTGAGGCATGACATCAAGGTTATGATAAAAGATATTCTTGGTGAGTCATCAGATCCTGAATACCCTGTTCATTCTGTGACCAATGTGCGTAAAATATGTTACTTATGTCCATCAAAGGCTTGTAGGATGACAAAACATCGATGCATTAAATGCAAAATGCCAATTTTGGTTCGCACAACATTGTCGTGTATAGTAGCTATGCAAAATAATTATTTATTGTTAAATGTCTTTCACATCAGTTGCTATTAAACCAAACTTAAGTGTCATGTAACCAGTTCCTATTTTTAATAAATATTTTAGATAATTTTCATGTTTTTTATTGCGTAGTCTGCCTGACGAAAGTTTAGTTACTATGTATCTACGAATATAGTTTAGTTACCTAGGGTTAACATACCTCTAACGGTAATTGACTTGTTATCTGTATGGAAGTAGTCAGCGTGTTCCTTGATGACCAGTACTCGTCATGGTGCGACATGTCTGCTGGCGTTCCGCAAGGCGGCGTATTATCTCCTCTTCTTTTTGCATTATTTATTAATTCTATCTCTTTAAATTTATCTTTATCCTACCACCTTTATGCAGACGATTTACAGATATATTGCCAGGCTCCACTTGAAAAACTTGAAGAAGCAGTATTAAAAACCAATTTTGATTTATGTCGAATTGCGGAATGGAGTAAAGCTTTTGGCCTTAATGTTAACCCTATTAAAACTCAAGTTATGGTTGTGGGTAGCTCCAGATTATTGTCACAAATTAACTAGATTGCTCTTCCTAAAGTAAAATTCGAAGGAACTATTATACCTTATAGTACAACGGCGAAAAATCTGGGAGTGATATTAGCTGGGAGCCACAGCTACAAGCTGTAAGTCGAAAGCTGTATGCGTCTGCTGGTTCATTAAGAAGACTTCGTAACTTTTTACCTACTGCCACTAAAATTATGCTATCTCAATCTCTGTTACATCCAGTCCTTGACTATGCTGACGCCTGCTATCCTGACCTTACGGAGGACCAGCTAAATAAACTTGAGCGCCTTCAAAATTTCTGCATCAGATTCATATTTGGTTTAAGAAAATATGATCACGTTTCCCAGTATCGCTCTCAACTCAAGTGGCTTCCAATTCGTCGTCGCCGGGATACTCATATACTTTCCCTTCTTTACAATGTTTTGTTTAATCCCTATTACCCCAATTATCTCAAAGAACTTTTCAGTTTTCTCCACAGTTCCCATACCAGACGTTACGCTCATCAGAGAATCTGAGCCTTAAAACTCCTGTACACAATACCTCCTTTTATAAATACTCTTTTTGTGTTGAAGCTGTGCGCCTCTGGAACTCTCTTCCTGTTGAGATTAGACGTGCACAGACTTTAGGAAAGTTTAAAAGTGAGGTAAAGGAATTTTTCCTTTTACAATAGTTGTTCCCATGCATTCTCCCTGTTCTTGCTTACATCATATTATTATTTTAATTTTATTAAAAATGTGTATTTTATTTAATGTACCGATGTATGTTTTTGTTTGTTTATTTGTTTTTTTTTAACAGTTTCTATTTCATAATATGAACAGTAATTTATATCATGGTTATATTTTGTTTTCCTTTTTTTTCTATTTTAATTTTGTAGTTGCACACCCCCTCTTTAATTAAATTTCGTCTCTCCATCCTATGGTTGTCTGGAAGAAATGGATACATAGCCATAAGACCGCCAATTGTCCGCCTTTTTAAATTATTGTCCTAATTTTGTATTTATAATGTAGTGTGTGCAATAAAGAATTATCTATCTATTTAAATATAAAATTTCTTTTGCGACACCTTGTATAATGTTGTACTGAATTTCATGATAACACTCCTAGTATTTTCGATCCCTTCCACGCAAAGGTTTTGCTTATCAGACAGCCACAGTATTCCCCTCTTTACAAAACAGTTGCATTAATAACTTTTACTGCACAGATTTAATACACAACAACGTTTATTATGTAAGTGGCTAACGTGATCAGTCTGCGAATGCGGATAAAAATGTTTTGTTATATTCTGTGCTTCAGACTACACGTTAAGCCGTTGGTCTGAGTTGCAGCTGCATTCGTTAAGCACCCACAAATTATCACTAGGTTTGAGAGGTTCATTTTTCCTACTGCATTCACAGGAAAGGCTGTGCAGCAGTGGGAACAGTCATAAACTGCTGTTGAGCTGCTACTTTGTTTAAACAAATAAATAAATATTTCTAACACACACACCAATTAGCCTAGCCCCAAAGTTACCACTGTAAGGCTTGAGTTATGGGATACTAGGGTAACGGATAGAATACTTATACTAATGATATAAACTATATCTATCTTATATCTTTATTATATATATAAAAATCGATTGCTGTTCATTAGTCTCGCTAAAACTCGAGAACGGCTGGGTCGGTTTACTTGAATTTGGTTTTAAAATGTTTGTCGTAGCTCAGGGAAGGTTTAAACGGTGAGAAAATATGGAAAAACTGCGAGGAAGATAGTAAAAACAACATTCTCATTTTTCCATATAAACTGTTCTACCTAATTTCCTGTCAAACATTTGACGTGCGTCCCTACCCTTAGTGCGAATCAATATCGAATACGAATAGTTTGCGAGGAAACTTGAACAGCAGCGCCATAACGGGCGTAAAGAGAACTAAAAAGCAGTACAAATTTGACCATGACATTTCGCACTCGCAAACTATTCGAATTCGATAAAGGTTTGTGCTAAGGGTAGTACGGTAGACTACGGTCCACTCGATAATAACCACATTCGATCGACTATTAGGCGGCACAAAGTTCGCCGGGTCAGCTAGTATATATAGTTTTGTATTTAGGAGTACATATTAACATCCGGTACAAATGCTCTTATTTATCACATGTAACAGGCGACACCTTGAAAACTGGCGTAAAAACCCCTCGAGCCAAGTGTATAGCTTGATTGTTAACTTTTCAGGGAGTCGCGTTCGGGCGTGATGCATGAAGTGGAGTGGCGCGGTCGCCGCGTCACCGTCCGTCCAGAGAAAGTGCGTCTTTTCCTTATAGCGCTCCAGGACTTCGACAAGTCCGTCGCCAACGCTCACACCGTGGAGGCCAAGATCGACATCCTCGAAAATATACTTATGGACTGCAAAGACGCCATATCTGCCATAAAAGACGAGATCAAGAATGATCCCAAATTCAAGTCTGCCACCACCCAAGAGACTCAGCTTTCTGGCATTAACTACTTGCTGTCCTACTTGATGTATCTACGTCTGCAGCGTACAATCGAAAGAAACAACTTGTTAGTGCAACAAGCTGAGGAGGCCCGCAAAAACAACACCTCGATCGACGGAAAAAAAGTGCGGCCACATGATTTGACCAGACTCTACGAGATAATCTTACAGAACTTCACTGAACTCCAGCAGTTGCCCGGCTTTGAAAACGACTCTGATTACCAGCAAGAGATAGAGACACAGACGAAAGCATATCGCGCATTCAGATGCTTCTACATAGCTCAAGTGTTGACGGGACTCAGGCGCTTCAGGGAGGCTTTAGCTATGCTCGAAAGAAGCAACAACTATACCAACGAGTCCCTAAACAGCAAGCTAAACGACCAGCAACTCTCTGACAAGCTAACAGTGTTGAAGAAAGACATCGAGAGCTGCAAGTTCGAAGTGCACGCCGACTCTGTGCTAGAAGATGACGAAGAACAAGACGAGGAAAATAAATATACGTCGAGTGGAAAACCTTATAAGGACAAGAAGCCACTCGTCGACAGGCTGGACGAATATCGGGAAGACACTCAGGCGCTTACGAAAAATCCTAACATATACAAAATGCCACCAGCGATGGAAGCTATACCGTGCAAACCGTTGTTCTTTGATTTGGCTTGCAACTTTGTTGAGTTCCCGAATCTGGATGATAAGACAGGTGCCGCCGATAGCAAGAAGCAAGGCGCTGGTCTTACTGGCTTAGTGAAAGGCTTTTTGGGCTGGGGCAAGGGTGATAAATAAAGGAGATGCTGTCAATTCAGAAATCGGTAGGAACAAAGTTTTGATCGATAGCTTAGAAAGAGCAAAATAACTCTACCTTTACTCTATTCAACTTCTTCTGAGACGAAAGGTAAACACATTATGATAGTTCATGCACTTTATAGCCTATATTTTCAATACTCCATAGAGTTAAGATTTGCGACTTGGGTAGGGTTATCACGCTCGTTATGAGCATTGCGATTGTTCATTCGATTTCTGGGTTTTTTATTGATAGATTTTGCACCTTCTCTTTTGAAACATTTTTACATCTACAAGACGAATATTTGACCTGGGACTTTCTAGATAAATCTGCAACAATGATAATTGACTAAAAATACTGAATTGGTTCACATTCCTGTAAATCGCGCCATTAAAGATAAGCATCAAAAATGGCGACAAAAGATAGATATTTTGTCCCTCTCCGACATCGTGTCAGGAATAAATGCAAAAGGAACAGGATGTCTTGGGTCGTTTTTTTAATATAAATTTTTGTGGCGCGAGTTAAACTTAAAAATTGTAAGGTGGTGTGTTTATATTAAGTCTACAACTTTGTGTTTAATCAAAAGTCCTATCTCGAAGATTCTGTATAGTAACTATATATAGATGATCATTTTATATATTACAACTATTATGTTTGAGAAAATATAAATTTTTAAAAAAACACTATTTTTCCTGGTAATCATCTTTTATGGAATTTGTCTTCGTGTTTATATTATATGAAAACATTCAAAGATAATATTATTATTTTCGGACTAAGTGTTATTGGGTAAAAATAAAAAAAAAGCAAATTGTATGTACACCAATTTTTTTCTATTATCAAACCAATAACAGGTATTCAACAAAAAATATTTTACACAAACGGAGTTTGTTCTATTTCAAAGTACAAAAATATTATAAATTTTGTTTGATTTCAAACATTGCGTAATTCGACTCGAATCACTTTTGACTTAATAAATTGCGATACTTTAATGAAATCGTATCATGTAATAAATAAGAATTAGTAATAGTTCAAATTGAATTTAGCAAGCTATTTTTTCATGTTTCGAAAAAAAAATCTTGTTGGTCATGGTTAAAACTAATTCTATTATAATATTAAAGCACAAAGTGGTTTTGTAGTTTTAGTGGTAGAATAGCTCTTAGCACAGTCAGAACATTAACGATGCAAGAATAAAAAGATTGAAAAAATATAATCATCTAACTGAAATATGACTTACAATAAGAAGAATAACATTAGCGTTGTACATATAAAGTTAATAATGGTCTCTAAACGTTTAAATCAACCGCCTTATTGACAAACAACCAAAAACAACCGAGTTTGATCTGTATTTTTGTTACTATCAAGTCCAATACAGACTTTCAACTTTCAATCTTACTTAAACCCTAACCCTTTAATAAAGATCATGTTGGATACTGATTTTTTCCACATACCCCTCGATATATTAGCAAATGTACATAAAAGCAGAACAAGATATAATAATTAAATTCAACGGATTGTTTACGAATAAGGCGATTGCTTTCTACATGTTATACAACAATTTAATAGGATTTGTTTTATCAGGTAATTGTAAATGTAAAAATAAATTAGCTAATGTCTGATATAATATGAAAATGAGCAATATTTGATGCCGGAATACGATAGACAAAGAAATCTATTTCAACAGTTTACGTATTTTAGATTTAAGATTTCGTACCCAAGATTACAAGGAGCAACTCGGATACAGTAAGTGGAAAAACCGACAGAGCGATTATAGTACCTATGTTCTTTGTATATTTTTTTTTACATTACTGACTTGTAACATACAACATAGTCTTAACTGGAAATAAATATATCGCACAAATATTCCTATGTGCCAGGTAGGTGGCAATATCACAATAGGATGTTTAATTTGAGCTAACGAGACGCGAGCGGAGGCCAATGCGCCGTATCGTGATTGATTTTGTCCAAAGCGGCCAACAACTGTCCACAGGTGGAACACACCTCCAACTGCGAGCCCATACTGCGCCCCACGACCAATTCCTGCTGCTTAGCTATATCCGGCAACAACGCCACCATTTCCGGGAACAAGTTGTCGAACTGACTCCCGACGGCGTTGCGGCAATGTTGATAGAACTCCTCGGCACTGATAATGCTGTCCCTGTAGGCCCGCGATGCCACTTTGAAGTCTTCCACCGCAGCGGCACCGCCCAATGCCACAGTGAACTTTTTCACCAAATCCCTGTTCCTCTGTTCGAAGTCCGGCGGCGGAATATACGTGTGCACCGGAGCTGGGAACGTCTGCCCCGAGGAATTGGTGAAAGTCATGCCGTCACAAGCCGGTCTCGCTTTGAACCCCGGTGGAACACTCCCGTTCAACATTTTATTACTAGTAACACTAGAAACGGTGTTGCTACTCTTCGGGTTCAGCGGCGGGTAGTCCTTGGAAGCCATTTTGAAGTCACCGTTCCCACCGTTCCTGTTCTTCTCGACGTTGACGGTCAGGCTAGACGACGTCTCCGCGGTTTTGATCTTTTTGCTGTCCAGAGATTGATTGTTAATCACGCTGGCGCCGTACGATAGCTCCTTTGCTATTTTCTTGTCGATCACGCCGTTGACGTACGGTACTTCGGCGATGTTTTCCTTCTTGGAGTTATTCTTCTTTTTCTCCTTTTTGCTGGGCTTTGTGTTTTCGTTCTGGATGGGCGTCGGGGCCGGTTGAGATTGGGGTTGGCTTTTTTTGGGTTTGGTTTTCGAGTTAGCCGGTAAAGTGGGGAAGTCGGCTACCGTATTGAATGACGGTTGCCTGGGCTGTGGGGGCGGTTCGGGCTTTGAGGGTTTGGGTTTTTCTTTAGACTTGGATACAGTGATCCACTGAGGCGGCGCGGCAGGCGTCGAAGTAGACGAGAGTGCGGGAAACGCCTCAGTATTCAACGGAACTTTTTTAGGTTGCGAATGTGACGTATTGGTTTGAGCCCGACTGAGTGCACTCATTTCTTGACTGTTTATGGATGCCACCTGCAACAGATGATGCTGTTGAATTTTATTTTCAAAAGACATTCATAGTTTTGGTTGACCACATTATTGTTTTAAAATTAAAAGTCAGTTCGCATTTACTAATCTACCGAATCGCGCGTAACTTCTTTAAGTTAGGCCCAGCGATGGGAAGTCGTAATAAACCTGTCTTGTTTGCTATATTGTATGATACCTAGGGCGGTAGTACCAGCGCCGAGGCTGTGAAGTTCGCGCAAGTCGCGTCACAGTAAACGAAATGTAGGATGATATAGACGGCGGAATACTTTGCGCAGTATTTGTCACTGAAATATAAACTGCGCAAAGTTCGCTGCTAACTTTTTCTTTTATAGGTAGGTCCTACAAATGACTCCACCCCAACTGATGTTAAGTGACGGTGAAGTCCAGACGTGAAGATAGCTGGTACAGCAGTTCTACCTGCTACACTAGCCATCCTCACCTTGCCGGCCTGCATGTTGCTTCTTCACGCATCTTTTAAGAATTTTTGGTATACATATTAATATACCAATTAATAGTCTTCGGTCCATAACACCCTAATCCATGATGCGGACGTCATCACTATTTCGACTCCCCATCACTATTTGATGAAATGGGGGGGAGGGAGCATTTCATCAAAAATAAGCAAAGAAACGACCCCCCCCTATAGTGCTTACGTAATACTTGAACGGCCCCCTAGCCCCAAAGTAAGCACTGTAGGGTTGTGTTATGGGATACTTTGTCGTCAAAAAATATACATATTGTTTAATATGTATTTCTATATAAATATGGATGACTATCCATGACTGGAGTACAAATGCTCGTATTCATCACACAAACATCTGCACCCACCAGGATTCGAACCCGGGACTTCTCGAGTCGGCGACATCATGAAACCCGGCGCACAAAACACTCGACAATAGAGGTCGTCAAAAAATATCTGAAGTTAGCGGGGACGAAGTCGCGGGCGGCCGCTAGTTATAATATTTTACCTTGGGCGGTTGGGTCGTCCCAGCGCCGATGCTGGGATGGTCGTCGCGCGCGAGGCCCAGCGATGGGAAGTCGTCGTCGGAGAGTGGGCGTCGCGACGGGGCCGGTATGGAGATGCGGTTCCCACTCGTCTGCGTCAGACGGAAGTTGCTTGCGCTGGCCGGTTGACTATGTAACTGGATCGATACGCTGGGTTTCGCTAGAAAGGTACAAACGATAAATAGAGACGATACGATAAAATTACGCCGCGATGTGGCATCATTAAGCGCATTCTACCGACTATACCACGGCGAGTGTTCTGAGGAGTTATTCTCCCTTATCCCTCCATCACCTTTTCTTCAGAGGACCACGCGCGCTGACCTTCGTTGCCACCGACTTACAGTGGCCACTATTCCTACACGAACAAAGAAATTTGGTGACTCATTTCTTTGTCGTACTATTCGTAAGTGGAATTCTTTACCCGCGCACGTGTTCCCTCCTTCCTATAATCTGGGGTGCTTTAAGAGGCGTGAAGAGGCATTTTTGCAGGCCGGCAAGGTGTAGATGGTTGGTGTAGAAGTTTATAACTGCTGTACCAGCCAGCTTCGCGTTTGGACTGTATCACCACTTAACAACAGGTGGGATAGTCATTTGCCTACCACGCTATAAAAAAAAGGATCTCCCCAGATCGTAGGATGCGGGAAAAGTTAAGGCATGAATTTCTCTAAGAATGAGATCGGTCGCGTACGCTAACATTTTTTTTTTTTTTTTCTAAGGATACTCGTAGACTCGTCCGTCGATTGCCGAACGAGACTTGTAAGACTGATCCGACTTCGAACACAGAAAAAGTTTAAAGTAAATTTACGAAGTAATTTTGTGCATTAAGTTTGTTCTTTTTGATAAAACATGTCATATCTGCAGTAACGACCTCAATAGATGCTTATAAAATTTCCGTGTTACGGAATTCATTTTCGACGCCGGTAATAGTATTATTAGACTTTCCAATATTCAACAAACACTTTATCAGACC